ACAGCATTTTCCGATGTTCCCATCAGAGCTCGTTTTCCCAGCTGTCATGGTTCAAGGCAGAGCCCACGTATGAGTGTGTGTGTGTCCCTAGTCCTCCAATGTGGCAATGCAGTGGGGAGGGAGCTGAGAAACTCCTCGGATGAGAACCATCCATAACGGGAAGCCCCTGGGGACACACACTCACACACACTCATACTGGAGGCTAGAAGCTCCATAACCACGCTCATTCACACACGCACACAGATACACACATTCATACAAACATATGCACAGCTTTCTTGTTTAAAAAAACTAGAATCTTTTAAGTTAAAAAAACCTAGAACCTGCAGAGCCCCTGGTTCTGTCTTGTCTTGTCATGACTCCTCCCTCCAGTTCCCAACTAGACTGTGCTGGGATGTATGGGGGCAGTACTGAACGAACGCTACACTGGGGGTGGGGGGGTCGCCGGTAATGGCTTCTGCTACATTACGTCCAGAAAGGTTGGTCGTTTGCATCCACTCAGACAGAGGTCCTGTGGAAGCAGGGAGTGGCAATCTACTTCTGAACAGGGGGCTTTCCTGACAGCCTGTCACATGGGGTCCCCTCAGCCTCAGTTGGAAGTAACTGAGGGTTGGTTAGGAAGTAACTGAGGAAGAAACAAAGGGTTGGTTGTGGGTTCTTGCAAGACAGTTTGGGAGCAGGTCTTGCCACAGGCTGACTCAAGCATGGCATTCAACTGCTCCGCTCTCAGACCCTCTGGACTCAGGGAGAAGGGGGACAGGGAGGGGGGGACCCTTGAGGGCATGAAACCAGGGATGGCCATTGTTTTCTGGGAGTGAGGGTCCACCTGCGAGTCCTTCCCACAAACGTAGTCCCGAGGTCTTCCTGCTGGTCTTGCAGCTTGTTGCCCACAGGACACTTTGTGATAAGGCTCCAGAGAAGCCCCCAGAGCCACCAAGGAACCTCAGGCCCCAGGAGGTCAGTGGGCAGCAGCCGGTGGGGCCTGGGCCTCACATCCTGTCCCTACAGGGCCTGCTCCCGGACTCCCACCTCAGCCTCAGGAGGCAGAAGAGAGACTGGGTGGTCCCTCCCATCAGCATCCCAGAGAATGACAAAAGATCATTCCCCAAGACAGTGGCTCAGGTACAGCCAGGGTCTCTGGGTTCCTCAGGGGGCTCCAAGCAGAATAGTGGGCGCCTGATGCCTTGTCCTCGCCCTCTGGCCAAGTCTACTCAGGACAAGGAGGCCCAGGGTTCATACAGCATCACTGGCCCAGGGGCAGACCAGCGGCCTCAGGACACATTTATCATCGAAAGGAAGACAGGGTGGGTGTTCGTGAGGGCCCTGCTAGACCGAGAAGAGATCCCTGTGTACACGGTGAGTCTCAGTGGCCTGGCCTGGGTGCTGGCAAAGGGGGGTTGCATGCTTTCTCGGTGCCTGGTCACTTGATTCTGGCATGACTTCTGGGAGCGGTCTCGAGCACCCGCTCTACTCCAGATGGCGTGTGGTGGATGTCCCCAAGGTGGGAATGAGCTGTGTGCTCGAACCCAGCTGGAGGGAGCTCTCTAGCTGTGCTGCTTAGATCCTAGATGAGTTACCTGGCCTCAGAGAGCCTGTCCCCACACCTGAGAGAGCGGGGTGGTGACCTGCAGTGCACAAGCTTGGGTGAGAGGGCCATGAGGCGCTCCTGAGCGGACAGAAAGGGCCTCCACAAACCAAGGAAGCCGAGCCTCAGAAATGCTGTGCCGAGCCTCACTTTCCCTACCTCCATGGGGCAGCATCTGTGAAGTGCTGGGGACATGTGGTCACTGCACAACAGCGGTTTTTCGCCGGAGTCCTCCAGCTTGACCAAACTAAAGCCCAACCGGGACTAGTTTCTCCACTGGACGTGCGCAAAGCAAGTCCACCCCCACCTCCCCAAAGGATCGGCCAGAGACGCAGACATTGCTCATATCCGCTCACTCAGACTTCCCTGTGGTCACTCCCAGCTACTGGGAGGCTGGGCACCGAGGGACTGGACTGTCGCATCCAGATATGGCAGGGGGTGGTGGTGCAGAGAGGAATAGGTGTGTGCTGGCTCTGGACTGGACTTTCCCCATGTTCAGGACCAGACATGGGAGGAAGTGGGTCTATCCATGCCCGGCAGGCCACAGGGGTGCATACTAAATGGTCCTCACCAGTGGAACCTGCACACTGTCCTCAGATGGCAGGAGGACAGCCATGCCAAGTGCCCCCTGGTGCCCAGCAAGGCCGACTCCCACCCACTCCCCCATTATTCTCCCACGGCTCTTCCTCCATGCCACGGCAGAGGATGGCACTGCCATCGAAGACCCACAGGAGATTGTGATCTTGGTGAGAGACCAGAATGACAACAGGCCAAGGTTCACCCAGGAGGTCTTTGAGGGGTCTGTGATGGAAAAAGCCAGCCCAGGTGATTGCACCGACAGGGATGAGGGGTGTTGGAAGTAGAATCAGGGCCACAGGAAGATTCTGGAGGCAGACAGAGCAGAGAAAGCCCTACGCTTCATGGGGAGGCAGTGGTGAGCCAGGCTGCAAGGACAGTGTCAGCTCTGAGTGCAGAGAGCAGCCCTGGGGCCCCAGGAGGCTCCATTTGGCTTCGAGACCCTCCGGCTGGCTAAAGTAAGCAGGGAGGGAGGGGCTTCGGGCACATATGGAGGTGGACAAACTAGACAAAGGCAAATAGGCCATTAAAGTTTTCGGGAGATGCCTACCAAGGGCTTGCTGGGGACCCTCATGACGTGCCTCCCCCAGCCCCACACCAGCCCCTTCTTTACTCCGTGGCTGCCCACAGAGCGGCCCACTCAGCTTGGGCCTTCAATGTCCATGTGTCTTTATCCTGCCGGTCACTAATTGCTGGCCACACAGTCTCTCCCTTTCCTGTCTCCAGGCCTCCCCAGTCAGCCCCAGTTGACTGATGAACCCACACAGCGGTTTCAGGCTCCCTCAGGGTACTTGCTTGGATCTAGCAGCCAGGGGGCACCATCCCACCTACCTCCCCTCTCGTGAGTTCCCAATGGCCAGGACCAGTGCAGGGCGGGGGTCCTGAGGGACAGTGAATCAGGAGCTGTGGGTCGACATCCACCAAGACAGGTCCCGCTGCCCCCGAAACAATCAAGTGTGGGTGTGGGCCCTCCACAATAACAGGAGGTCTGAAGATAGATGAAAGATTTCTAAAACAATCAACAAAGAATGTGGAAACGGCTACAGCCATGGATTAATTACTTGAGCCTTGCCAAGCAGTTAGCTGCTGACCAGCAGGGGACAGAGCTGCTTTCAGAGGTACGTGCTGGCAGCTGTGAGGGTCACCACACTCCCATCCATGCAGGAATCGCAGTGGAACAGGTCACAGCCACCGATCTTGACGACAGCGAGAACACCTACAATGCAGCCTTGTTACTCCATCCTCAACCGAGACCCGCCCTGCCTCGTGGCACCAGGTTTGCCATTAACCGAGACACTGTGGTCATTGCCGTGCTGGTCGGCCTTCTGAACTGAGAGGTCAGGACTTCTGGACCCAGAGGGTGGGGTGGTCAGATAGACAAAGCTGCTGGCAGATCAGAAAGCATACCTGATAGACGAGAGTGGGCCTGACCTGCCAGAACTACCACCAACAAGGTGGGCAGATGCTGAGCAGAGCAGTTAGGACAACACTGACCTTTGGCCCAGGCACCTGTAGACAGTGTCCGGCTCTTCTGGAGCCTGGCCTGTACTGAGTGAAAGAGTGACATGCACACCCCACTTAGCAGGCAGGGAGTCAGGTTCGCCTCCCACAGAATAGACAGGCAAGGAACTTGGCGAGAATAGAGACCCTTCATGAGCCCCAGGGAGTGCTTACAGGGTCCCAGACCCCAGCACAGTGCTGGCACTGGGAAGGAACTGGCAGTCCCCTGGGCAGATATGCAAGTTGCCTCTGTGAAGCATGGTGGGAGAGTGACTAACTAGGTGTCTGAGGGGCCCCAGCCTGATGATGACCAATGGGGGGACCGGGGTGTGCCGAACCCCCACCAACACCATGCCCAGCACAAACTCCATGTGCTCGGCTCACAGATCGCGCTCAAGTATACCCTGAACGTTCAAGCAACTGACCTCCAAGGGTTTGGCCTGAGCACTGCAGCCCACAGCCCGGGTGGTCATCACCGTCCTCCCTGAGGTGAGTCCCCTACACCCGACGCCACGCCATGATACTTGGTGGCAATGACACACTGCAGGCAGTGTCCACCAAACCACAGGGCCTTTACTGCCACTGCCCGGTGCCCTCTGCAGTGGGCATGGGGACAGCAGCGGGCTCAGCCCTTGCCCAGAGTTCATCACAGAGAAACCCCGTGGGGAAGACGTGGGTTTGCCAAGTCGTTACACTTGGCTGGTGCCCCCACCCCTCCCCTCTGCTTCCACCCAGGAGGGGGCTGCAAAAGAAGGAAGAGGGGGGGAGCTTCCATGATCTTGTCGTTTCATTGTTCTACCACCTCTCTGCAGCGCCTCCTGTACTGACTGTATGCTCCACACACACACAAAAGAGCCGGAGTCCCTGGGGAGGGGGCGTGTACAAGCTCATAAGCTGCAAAGTCAAGCACACCCCTGGTGCCTTTCCTAAAGCAAGGCCTGGCGATCTACTTCCTAAAAACCAGCGATCTATTGGCAGCCAAGCAGGCTGCAGCACTTCTCCGACGAGCAGTGGGGCGCCAGGAGCAAGGTGATCCGTAGGATCACGTGGGGAGAGAGGGTCAAGCAGCCCCAAAAGCTTCCCTTTATGCCACGGACACCGCTCAACAACCCAGGGTACAGGGAAAGAAACTGAGGCAGGTCAGGGCAGTGTCCAAATCCAAACTTCACCTGGCTCACAGAGGAGACACGTACGCCCCGCCCCGCCCCACGTGGGCTGGGCCGGCTGCCCGGGAGGAAGGTCGGGCGGGGCGGGGAGGTCGACCAGCCACGCCCCTACCCAACCCGCCGGTTCGGTGACTAACTTCCGCCGGAGGAACACAGACAGCTGAAGGTGTGTGGGCGGCCAACAGAGACCCCTAGCAGGGGGCCGGGCCGGGCAGGGGTCGGACTGGGGAGCGGCTGCTGGGCCGGCCTATAGGTGCCAAGGCAGGTGGACAGACCCGAGCGGAGGCCATGAGCTCAGGGGCTGCCCCCCGGCTGCAGCGGCTTCAGGAGCACCTGGGCTCCCGGGTGACCTATCAGCACCTTTCCATGCAGGTGGGCGGCAGGGCCCAAGAACGGGAGTCGGGGTGGGGGGTGCGGGGGTGGGTGTCAGGCTTCACTAAGGGACCCCTGGTGTTAACACCCTTGGGCCTCGGGAGTCAAGTTAAGGAGGAGGATTCACTGGAACTGTGGTCTCCTGGGTCAGTGGGGGCCACGGCACAAGATTCTGACAAGCTTCCCCCTCCGCCCAACTCTGGCCCAGGGAAACAGCATGGATCCCCCCATCAGCCCACTGACCACACACGTGCTGGACACCGCATCTGGGCAGCCAGCCCAAGGCCTCAGCCTCCGTCTGTCCCGGCTGGAGGAGTCTAGCCAGCAGTGGACAGAGCTCAGGCAAAGGTAGGAAGGGGCCCATGGCATGACCTCGATCCCAGAATACGTTGTGAGGCGAGGCCTAGTTGAGGTTCTGGATAGTGAAGGGCTGACCTGGCTGGAGGGAGGGCTTCACCTGGGAACAAGGTCAGTGCCCCAGACGTGTACTGACTGCACGTTCCTGTGGGGGGTAGCCAAAGGGTCTCCACTCCTCCCTGAGCCGGGCCCAGTGGGGCTTGGCTGAGCAGTTGAGGGCTGAGGAGGGTCTGGAGGCCCATTCACACCCCATGCACGATGGGGACGCCCAGCAGGGCATGGGGTCACCTTGCCCAGGCACAAATGCCCAGATGCTGGCAACTGGAAAGCCACACGCAGTATCTGCAGTAACAGACAATGTATAGAGCGTGAGAGTGGCACAGCCACTGTGGTAGTTTGTAACAACTCACGCTGTGCTCAGAGAACCTGGGAAGTACCTGCTAGAAGCCAGCCTGTGATGCAGTGCACCCTGCTCGCCCTTGCTTCTCTGCATTTCACCTTTTCTCAAATCAGCCCAGGCCGCCCCCCTCCCCACACAGCGAAGGGCCCTGTGTAGCTGCGTCAGGGGATGGGGTACAGAGCCTCACCCAGCCCTGTCTTCTCTGCAGTTACACAAATGCAGATGGCCGTTGCCCTGGACTCCTGGAGCCCAGCCAGATGAAGGGGGGCACCTACAAGCTGTCCTTCAACACGGAAGGCTACTGGAGGAAGCGGGGACAAGAGACCTTCTACCCTTACGTGGAGGTGAGGGTCCCAGCTGGTCTCTGCTGGGCATGGGGAGGGTGCAGGCACCTGCTCTGAGCTCCTGAAACAAAGGTGTACATAGGTCCTCGGCCTCATTAGGCTTTATGAGGACATGCCTATGCTGGGCCTGCCCCGGGGTCAGGCTTTGGAGGGAGCCAGCTGCTGTGATTCAGACACCTGAGGGCTGAGGTCATGGGAGCTGCCTCTCCCTTCACTGAGAACCACCCTCAAAGCAGTGCCCTTTCTCAGCCACTGTGAGTCTTTGCCCTGTGGGACCCTCACTCTGGGTGAGCTGCTGCCTCAGCCCAGCCCTCCCAGGAGTCGGGGACAGCATGGGGCTCCACCCTCAGGGTCTGTCCCTCATCTCAGGTGGTCTTCACCGTCACCAACGACACGCAGAAGTTCCACGTGCCCCTGCTCCTGAGTCCTTGGTCCTACACCACCTACCGTGGGAGCTAGAGCCAAGGACGAAAGGGCTGCCACAGGGCTGGTCCCCATGAATCATGGAAGGTCTGACTGCAACCCCTCCTCACCTGAAGTTTCAACAGGCGTCAATAAAGTCCACCTGGCACCTCTGCCTTCCCATCGGGGTGAGGACTGGGGTGATGGGTCGGGGAGAGGTTATGGGGACTCCTGGAGGAGGCTCGGAGGGGGGAGAAGGAAGGAGGCCCGCAAAGGCCAGGCAAGGAGACACACAGGTCAAAGGGAAAACTTTCCATTGCTAACCATACAAATCTTAAAAACAGCAGCCCACCCACTTGGTGGATGAGGGCTGCACACAACGGGGCCTCGATGCCTATGTAGGGGTGGCCACCAGCCCGGCAGGGCCCTGGCCCAGTGTCTGCCCGACGATGGCTGTTTCCAAGGGTCTGAAGCCCACGTTGTCCAGGGGGATCCCGAAGGCCAGGAGCTTCGCCTCGTAGGTCCGAAGGAGGTCGTTGTGCGCCTGCAGGAAGGGCAGTGTGAGCGGAAGCGGGCAGAATCCTTCCTGTATCACCAGACCTGGGGGGGCAGCTGTGCTGGAGGCAGCACGGCCTTTGTGGGATTTTAGCAAGTCAGACACAGGCGGACCAAGGACTGGCATTCCATGGAGGCCCCAGGAGCTGGCTAGAGGAGAGGTGCAGGGTCGCTGAGCGAGTGGTCAGCCTCTGGGCAGAGATCCATGCCCAGAGAACAGGGCAGGAACTCCAGCTGAGGGGGTCTGCCCTGGAGGCATGCAGCGGGACTCTGGTGGGAAAGGGTGTGGAGTCGGTCATCCTCAAAGAGCCCATGTGCACTCATGCACTCATACACTCGTACAGGCCCCACAGTCCCAGCCCCAGGATGGAGAGAGCGTTCCGAGGGCACAGGGCCTGGAGTGAGGATACTGGGAGCCACGTCTCCCCTGGGGTGTGCCCCCGTCCAAGGTTCCTGACAGTGACACATAGGTCAAGGACAGTTAAGCCTAGGCTACCACAGGCTCTGGGTAGTAATTCCATCCTGGTGGACTGGGGCCAGGACGGGATGCCCTCAGAGCCAGGTCCTCATCCTCACAAGGCTAGTGGTCTCTGGGGACCTTCTGAGATCAGAACTCTGGCCAGATGTGCTGAGTCGGGGGTGGGGTGGGGGGTGGTGGTGGTGCATGACTCTGCCAGATGTGCCAGGCCTGGGGGCAGCTGCAAACCTTGCACACTCGGGCCAGCTCATACTGAAGGTCCTTGATGGTGCTGTTCTTGGATTCCAAGATGTCCTGTGGGGGAGGAGACAGGCTGGGATCAGTGCTCACCCTTACACACAGCCACCGTGGACCTGAGGGAGGGTGAGTGCACGGCCCACTCCCATTTCTAATTCAAGGGAAAAGCACTTTTGTCACTGGGTCTGGGTCTGCAGGCCTGGGTCTGTCCCTGGGAGTCCCCACCCTGTCCATGGGGTGTTGCCCAGGACAGCTTCACCCACCCCAAGGGGCCAATGCCCTGTCCAAAAACAGTACACAGACACAAGACCTGCAAATCAAAAGCCAATGGAAATTTGGAAATGAAAACAGGAAAGCCAGGGAAGCATGGTGACCATTCTGCAGAAAGAACGACAGAGAAACAGGGTCACTGAGTGGATGAAGAGGAAAGCCTACTGCTGCCTATTAACAGCAAGGTTGGTGGTTCACACCCAACAGATGCTCCGAGGAGGCTTGCTAACCACAGGTTGGCAGTTCAAACCCACCAATACCTCTGGGTGGGGGAGATGAAGCTGGCTGCCCTCATATACATTTACAGTCTTGGAAAGCCTAGGGAGAGGGCCTCTCTGAGGCAGAGCCCAACGAGGGCAGTGGTGAGTGTGTTAAAACAAACAAACCAGAAGCCACGCAGAGAGTCCACGGATGCTGGGAAGCACCCCAGAATGCAGGGCACCCTAGTGTGCCCCTGATTCGACCAGCCAGCTTCTTCAGGAAGACCTAAAACCTTCAGAGGAAGTGAGGGCCAGTTCCTCACACACACAGCCTTTTAGGGAGGGAAGATTGGCAAGAAGCCAGAGGGGATCCACCTGTACCACTGGGTCCCCACGGTCTTTGAGCGCACAACAGGGCCCCTCGGACATGGGCCCCTGGGAGGGCATGAGGGAGGGGCTGCAGCTGTGGGGACAGAGAGTCCCTGTCCCCAAGACACTCTGGGGCTGTCCCTAGGTGTGAACAGACAGCCTCGGGAACTCAGCGGTAGGGCAACTCTGGCCTATGGGGTCACTGTGAGTCGGCATCAGCTCCGTGGCACTGAGTTTGGTTTTTATTATCAACTCAAGAGTTGATCCCATGGCCAAGTTAACATCCCCGCAGGCTCGGGGGCTCCTGTCCTCGTGTTTAGGCTCTCTGCTCTGTGGGCCCTGCCCTGAGTCACCTTTCCATTCTGGAACTGAACTTGGTGGTGGCTGAACAGCAGCCAGGAGGCCCGCACACCTTTGTGCAGGGGGCCAGCAGGCTCCTGATGGCACAGTGGGGAATACCTGCGTGACGGAACAGATGAGTCTGAGGTGTCGGATGTGAAACTGATGATCTGCTTCGTGAACCTGCCCAGTTCATAGGACGGTACCCGACTACAGGCTTGGCTCTGCAATCCACTCAGTGCTGCACTCCCTGCTGTGGGAGGCAGGGCCTCACTGGGGATGGGGACCCACCTCGAGCTTGCGGGACACGACCGTCAGGGCGGCAGGGTCCAAGTTGGAGGTAGCCAGCACCTCGTTGAGCTGCGCCTCCTTCTGCTCCACGGCACTGCTCAGCGCCTGCAGCTTGCGCTCCAGGATCAGGTTCTGGAAGCCGGCCTTCTGCTGCACCTCCTGGATGGCGGCTGTGAACCTCTGGTAGAGCCGGTCCCGCTCCTGCTGCACCTGTGCCGGGGCCCACACTGTCAGCCAGGGCCACTGGGCAGCCTTGTCTCACCCCTAACCTTTGGATCACTGTGACCCCTGCACCCCACTTCACAGAGGCCGCTACCATCTGGAGGTGCTCAGAAAGTTCCCTCCCACTTGGTCAACTTGCTGGGAGAGACTGAGGGGAGCCCCTGGAGGGAAGGAGTGGTCCCTCCTACTAAAGCAGCAGGACCTGCACCCCTGAACCTAGTCTTGGGGCCGCGGGAGCCAGGGCCCACTCACCCCTGCCCTGCACCCCCACCTGGATGAACCGCTGCTCCAGCACCTCGTGCTCCCACTGAAGATCCTTAAAATCTTTCTCGGTGACTTTCAGACGGGCCTTAGTGCACTGCAGCGGGGCGGGCGGGGCAGAGCTGTCATGGGGAGGTGCAGAGGCCCCTGGCCCTGTCCTGCCCGCCCCTGCCCCTGCGCGCCCACCGTCAAGATCTGCTTGTCGCGCTCATAGTGCGTGAGCTTCCTCTGCATCTCGTTCATGTCGTCGCGTGCCCGCTGCAGCGGGTCCGCCAGGCGCTTGTTCTGCATGGTCACCTCCGCCATCTCCCTCTCCAGGTGGTCCTCCTTCTTGCGCATGTCTTCCATCTGCTCCTGCGGGTGGCAGGGTGGCAGGCAGGACGCTATGTCAGGCAAGTGTAGGGGAGGCTGGCCAGGCCCATTCAGCAAACCCTGCGTGGTCTCCATACTTCCCCACAGGGGCGATTTCTACATGAAACGTCAAACTGCCACCAAGCGCTGCTCTGTGTCCAAGCCCACGGTGGCACCTGCAGAGTGCCCAGACTCCCCACACTGAGGTCTGAAGCGTAGGCTGGCCCGGGCAGCGGCCCGCAGGCGCACCTTGAGAGAGTTGATGAGGGCCAGGTTGTTGAGCGTGATGTCATTGTAGTAGTTCTTGATGTCACTAAAGGCCTCCTCGTGCTTCTGCATCAGCATGCGGATCTGCCCGCTCTTGCGCTCCTCCACCTCGTGGGTCTCTGTCTTTCTGCGCAGGTCCATCTCGTCCCGCAGCAGCTTCAACTTCTTGTCATATTTGGCCTCGATTTCTGGAAGGCAGCGCGCCCACAGCTGCAATGCACAGGCCGTTGGGGGCCGGGGCGTACACGGGCACCGCTGGTCCCCCGAGGCAACACTAGGCAGGCTGTGTGGCAATCGGGGGCCAGCAGGAGTCCTGAGGCGGGAGCTCAGGGCCCAGGCAGCAGACATTCTTGGAATGTTGCTCTGGCCCAGGCCGCCCCCAGGCACCCCATCCCTCCAGGGCCGGGTGTTTTGCTAGAGTTCTTTAGTGTAAAACTCCAAGGATGAGTGGAAGGGTTTGCTCAGTCAGTGGTTGCCGGGGCCTGGCTAGCATGAAGTCAGTGTTCTTATTTTGAGCTTTTACTGATTTGGGGGTTGAAAGTGTCCCCTCCCCTTCCCTCTCTCTGGCTCATCTCTGTTGGGATGGCGTGGACCCCGACTCTGGCCGGGATTTCTGGCACCGGAACCCAGAGGCCCAAGGCATGGAGAGAACTGACCTCGAACTTGCCTCTCAAAGTCGCTCCGCATGGCGGTGATCTCCTCCGAATGTTTCTGCGAAGACAGGGCACAGCATGATGGATGGCAGGACACTCAGAGGGTCTAGCCGTGGCCACCCCGTCTGGGTGCTCAGAGGCTCCGGTTCAAGGAGCTGCTACAGGGCTGGGTTGGCAGGGGTGGGCGGGGGGATGAGCCAGCGGGGCGTGCAGAGACATGGGCTTGACGACCTGGTTGTGGCCTCGGCTGCAACGCCCTGTGCACTTGCCAGCACACGTTCCACATAACTCCCATAAAAAGTGTTTCCAGGAGTCATGCCACGACCCATGGAGCACCCTGACTCCACGCCTGGCAGCATCAGGAGGCCCCTGGCTCCCTGGGCAGGCCCATGGGCCTGGGTGGGGCTGAAGGGCCTGAAGTGCTGCTACTGGAACAGGCAGTGGCTTCCAGGTCCAGTAGCTGGAGGCACCTTGCAAAATGGCCTCAAACATGTTCATCTGCACCGAGCCAGGGGCCCTGTAGCATCTCCCACCCCACACCCCTCACAGCACCAGTGCGCTGAGCTGCACCATCCCTACCAGGCGCAGGCTCTTCACCACCACCTCGTTGGCCAGCTCCTGCTCCTTCAGCTCCACCTTCAGTGCACGCATGTCCTTGCGCAGTGCGCCCTCCTGTGTGTGGTGCTCCTTCTGCGCCAGCTTCATGATCACCGTGCCTTCTGCCTTCATCTCGGTCAGGTTGTTCTGGTGCTCATACAGCAGGTGTTTCACCTTCTGTTTGTAGACCTGTGGGCGGGGCATCTCCTTCATGGACCTTGACAGCCTGCACACCTGCACACTCCGCTACCCCTGCATATTGGTACACATCTCTGCATTCACCTGTGCATACACCTTCATACTGCTTACACCTGCACGTATCTCCATATACCTATACACTCGCACACGTCTGCATACTCATTTTTATCTGCAGAACCTGCACACCTGCGTACAGCTGTCTGCACACACCTGTAAACACCTGCACACCTCTGCATCCCCTTGCACACAGCACCCCCTCCTGTACACCTCTACACCGTCCCACCTGCACACTGACCCGGAGGGCATCTGCAGCACGGAGGAGATGCTGAGGCTGCCTGCGAGGCGCAGCCCCGGCTCAGATGGTGTTCGTAACAGAACCGGGCTGCAAACGCTCAGATGTGAGGAGCCGCTCCTGCCTACAAAGGGATGACGCCCCTGGGTCTCATACCAAAACCCCAGTCTCCAGCATGAAGACCACCACCAGGGGCATGCCCCTGCCCACCTTGATCTCCACTTGGTGCCGCTCCTCTGCCTCTTCCATCTCCCGGTCCTTGTTACGCAGCTCGGCCTTCTTCTCCTCCAGCTGCCGCCGCGTGATCTCCCAGAACGTGTGGATCTTGTCCCGCTCCAGCTGGAAGTAGTTGCGCTCCTCACGCTCCCGGTCCAGCTCTTCCCGGATGCGGCCCACATGCTCCTCCACCTGGGAGCAGAGAGGCAAGCCGGCCGGAGTCGGGGTCCACCCCAGCCAGCAGAGATGAGCCAGAGGGAGGGGAGGGGACACTTTCACCCCCCAAATCAGTAAAAGCTCAAAATAAGAACACTGACTTCATGCTAGCCAGGCCCCGGCAACCACTGACTGAGCAAACCCTTCCACTCATCCTTGGAGTTTTACACTAAAGAAATCCTTCAGAGGGAACAGAGAGCTTTCTACTCAGGGATACCAGACAGTTATTACACAAACACACAAATCCCCGAATCCATATACAAAAAGTTAGGGTCTATGTAACAACACTCACAGGGAATACAGTAATGGCAATAAAAAAATAAGCAAAATCATAATACAACCAGCACACATCCAGCCACTCTAAGGCATGTTTTAAAGTGACTGTACAATCCCTAGACACACATAATGATAACACAGTCAGATTATAAGGCACCTGAGGAGGAGGTTGACCTCTGAGGCAGTGACAGGACTGGGGCAAAGAGGGTTGGCATAGCATGTATGTGACTGAAGGTCCATTAGCATCAGCATGATACGTCAACCTGGCAACCATCAAAAAAAGCGCCCCCAGAAAACACATAAAGAGTATCCACCAAAAATAGAGGAGGAAAGTCTGGGGAGATGGCAGCATTAACAGGCCGTTGTTCCAGGATCTCCCGCAAATCAAATCAGGGCAGTGCCCAGCTGGGAGGGCTCTAAATCAGGGAGCAGAGAGAGTCAACGGGGACAGTCCAGCGCCTTCTACCATCCCTGCCCCTCTGCCCAGCCACTTGGACCACAGTGAGTGAAGAAGTGGCTGCAAAGGGAATGAAGAGCCCGTTTCCCTGGCCTCCATCGCTCTGCCAACAAACGGAGACAGAACTCCATGCTTCTGGTCTCAAACCAGCATGGATGCGGCAGCACCGCTGCAACCTGGACACTCAGGCTGCACACCTGCGGAGAACAGCTGCAGGAGGGCCAGGCAGTGGGGTGACGCACACTGCCACACTTCCCCTGCCTCCCTGTGCTCTCTGGCTGTCCCACCAGGATATCCCTCCCAGGACAGCATCAGTTGTGCCCCCCCCCCATCCCCACCTACCACCACCACCACCATCAGCAGGGTCCTGAGCTCTGCTGACAAGGCCGCTGTATGCTACGACACAGGCAGCCAGCATCCTCCAGGAAGTATACTCTTGGTGCACTGACGGTGGTACCAAGATGCTTCTCTTACATGTCCTCATGCTGAGGGATGCCCCCCACCCCCCGAACAGCAGGGAAGGAAACCTCGGGCCAAATCAGAGGGTGTGGGTCTCCCAACCAAATATGTGGCTGCATCAACAGGTAAGGGCAGGAGTCATGAGCAGAGAGGGGTCCTACACACCCTGGGGGATGGATGGATTACTGCACAACACCTCGTCTGGGTGGTGCTGCTTTCTGGTGGACAGACTGACTATGGTGGGTGCTATGGTGGGTTAGGAAGAGGCAGAAAGTTGTTGAAAATTGAGCCCTGTGCCCTTTGAATCCTAGTTAAACCAGGAAGAGAGCACAGACAGGGAACGGAGTGGTAAGCAAAGGCCTAGGAGTTCCTGTAGAAAATAATGCAGCCATGCCAAATGCTGGGAAATTTCAAAACTTGGTATCCCGGAAAATTCAATGCACTCACAGAAACATGTAAGACACACAGAGAACAGAGAAACAATTGCCATCGAAATGAACAAATACAACTAGGGTTAACCGACTAATGGGAAAATATAATAAAATAACAGTAAGTACAATTAAAGCACTAAGGGGAACTGTAGGAAAATAGCTTAAAGAAATAATGAAAACACTGAAAGAGCAAATTGAGGGTCTAAAAAGAGCAATACTGGAATTGAAAAAGGAAATATCAGAAATGAGAAACACAACAGAAGGACTTACAGAATTAAGCAGGCTGGAGAAAGAGTCAGTGACGTGGAGGATGAGACAGCTAGCTAGAGGGCACATGCTGAAGTAATGGGGACAGACACTCAAGGAGGCTATTGTCCCACAAAATGTCAACATCATGGGAAATCCAGACGGAGATGAACAGTCTTTCAGATAGTCTTTCTGAAGAAATAATGACAGAAAATTTCCCCAGTCCTGCAAAGACACGAATCTATAAATCTAAGAAGCTGAAAGACCTCCGAGCAGAAAAACTCCAAAGAGCTCAGCAGCAAGATAAAGATTAGAGATCAAGAATCCTGACAGCTAGAGACAGACCTTCGATGGACAATGACTGAAATGCCGGACACTCCGAGAAGACATTTTTTAAAATGTTTACGTGTCAAAGCTGTAGTTATGTAGCAGTTTCAATATTTTGTGCGTATCTGCCCATTTGTAAGCCCTCCCCTTTACTGTCTTCACCATCCTTTTCCCTCGACCCCATCTCTACTTCCAGTGCCCAAACCCCCAGAAAGTCCACTGCCTAGCACACAACTCAAACTCCACACATGTGGGGTCCTTATGTTCACACCCAACAAGAAGCACCCAAAGAGAGCTGTGAGCAGGGAGCAGCCCAGCTGAGTGAGTTAAAATCAACTCCAACACAATGGGTTTCAACTCTCTTTACACCTTGATCACGTGTGTCTGAAAGTATGGCTCATCAGGACAGTTGCTATAGTCAATAACATAATTATCAGGAATTAGTTGCAAAGCTTGGCAAATTCCATGTGTTTGAGCAGCATGAGTATTCCATAATTGGATATGTTCTCACCTGGACTGAATAAATAGTGTAATGTCTCAAATACAAACAAAAACCAAAAGAATCCTGAAAGGAAACCGTCATGCACAAAGGGTCCTCAACCCTCATAAATACAGCAGGCCAAAGGGCAATGAAATGACAAAGCTGCCAGTCATGAGCACTAGAGCAGCAAAACTCCTCTTGAAGCATGAGGATAAATTCAAACACTCCCAGACAAACAGAAGCTGAAGCCGGTATAGCCACCAGACAGGCCTCTGGATGGAAGGGAAATACCCTACAAAGTAGGATCCCTAAGAAATGGAAATGCAAGAAGAATCATAAAGATTAGTAATAAAGCTGCATGTCCTTCATGTTTCACAGGAACTATATTACCTGACGTAGATATAAAGGCAGATTTCATGACATCAAAAGCAGGGAGAATGTTATAGCTATGAATTTTCTTGTATGTTACTGACGCTGATACTAACTTAATCTGGAATCTTATAAATGTTGCTAGGTGTTATCGAGTTCCAAATTATAGCACCCCCCGTACAGAATAAAACGCTGCCCAGTCCTGTGCCGTGCTCACAATTCTTAGAGTTGATCCCATTGCTGCAGTCACTCTATCAATCCACCTCATGAGACCCTTCCTCTTCCTCCCTGATGACATCTTTCTCCAGTGGCTGGTCTCTCCTCACAAAAGGTCTAAAATACATGAGACCAAGTCTTGCCATCCTTGCTTCTAAGAAATAATCTGGTGGTACATCTTCTAAACTAGATTTGTCCGTTCTTCTGTCAGTCCATGGTACCACCCCTTCCTCAATGGGCATGAGGCTCCTGGGCCTGGTTAACTGGGTGTGTCCCCTAGGCTAACCGACCAGAGGGCAGGACTGCCGTGTGTGCTAACACCCAGGGTAAACTGACTCACAGGCAACAGGTGGCTGGACCAGCACTGGGCTGCAGGGAGTCCCCCATGATCAGGACGGCCCAGCACCTCACCCTGCTGCTCAGGAGGATCTGGGACTCAGAAATGCCCCTTCCTGGCAACAATGGGCTCCTGACCATCCCAGAGTCAGCTAAAGGGGTGAACGTTTTTTTGGAAAAGGCATTTGGCTGGGTAAGGCAGGAAGCAAGTTAGCTGTGGTATATGCATGTGCAGTTTATATGTGTATGGTATATGTATGAGGGGGCTGCTCTAGCTAGTTCTCTGTCTTGACTTGTGAGCTACACTACCTGCTGGACAGCCAACCTGTGGATCGTGTTGCTAGACCTTCAGGTTCCTTCAAGACCTGCTTTGCCACACTGCTGGTATGTATATCACTTGAGTTTAAGGCTGGTGGATCCTGTCGTCTTGCATTGCTTGAGCTGGATATCCCATTCGGGCCTGCTTCGCTAAGCTCCTGAGCTGCTGACTGTTGGTGACCTGCCCTGCTGTTTGCTGCCTGTGGCTGGACTGCCTGTATTGCCCAAGGAAAGAATCAGCTGTCTGATTCCTTGACCTTGGACCCAGCAGCCCTCATGAGTTGAAGGACTTTCGGTATATTAACTTTTCCACAGAAGTTGAGTTGAACTGAGCCCTCTGTATTGCTGTGTGGAGTAATTAGCTGTTATATTCCTTCGTGCTGTGTGTGTGCGTGTGTGTGTGTGTGTGTGTGTGTGTGTGTGTAAAATCATAAGCATCCTGGTTTTGTTTCTCTAGAGAACCCACCTAACACAGTAAAGATAATGGATAAAACCAGAGGTTAGTTCTTTGAAAAGATGAATAAAATTGACAAACCTTTAACAAGACGATCAAAGAATCAAAGGGGAAAATGTGAATACTCAAAGGATAAAATAAACAGAAATAAAGACAATTATGACAATATTGTTATGAATAACTGCGTGCTAACAAAAGGGACAAAATGGATGAAATGAACACCTTCTTAAAGGCGCAGGACCCCACACTGACTCGAAGGGAAAGATGCCAGCAGCCCCATTGCCAGTGAAGAGACCCGGCACGCCCCAAGCGAAATAGCGGCCAGGACCAGAAGGGTTCACTGTGGATTCTATTCACAGCAATGTCGCGAATGGCTCCCTAAGTCTGCTACTGTTGGGGAAGGAGGAGGGAAGCTGGGAAATCCCACTGGAAACACTCTTGGGGTACGGAGCCCTCAAGGAGGCAGCTGACAAAAAGGCAGCACACGGGAGCATGTGGTCCCATTTGAGCATGCACGGTGGGGAAAGAAAGGACCCAAAGAAACCTCGCGTCCATTATAATAACCACACCCACTAGTGCCCTGACAGTTCACTCTCACGAAGGAGG